TGCCGAGGATTAAATCCGTGATCAGATAGGTTCACGGCGTCAACCGGAATGATGCCGTTTCGCGCATTAAAACCGGCATTAAGCACGCCGTCACCATGCACGCCAGTGACGCTTTCCATTTCAATACCTTGACGAGGATTAGAGTCACCATCCTGTCCACAAGGGAATCTTTCTACATTAATTGGGCTGCATATGGCATGTCTGGCTATTGTCCAGTTTTGCGTTAGTATTTCAAACGCATCCCTGGGGTGCAGATTACGCGCACTTACGCACTGATAACAAAGGTTCAGATTCAAGTGAGGTTTGACGTGAATTGTCCAACCCCCTTTGGGCATCTTGTGCCCAGAAAAGTGGGTTGTATTGAAATTGCCAGCCTATCCAAAAGTTAGCTTGTTTCTTGTATTGCTGAATGGACGTACGTTGACCCGATCCAAAGATCTCTCGATTTTCAGAAACTGACTGGTCAAGCCTATTCCACAATGTTCTGAAAATCGCTTCCGATAATCCACGAATATCCTCTATACCCCCAATATATGACTGGGCTTTTGGGGAGGGAGGTGAGGGAATCCCATATGTCTGGAGGTGTTGAATCGCCTCTGTTCTCTTTTCTCCGCCGAAGGGGAGCACTCTGACACTTCATGGGAGAAAGTCAATTAGAGAATTCTAATCCCTTCAGTGATAGACGTACAATTCATAGTTAACCTTTGAAGGCAAAAGAAACAGCCAAGATAGGTATTCAAATCCTTGGACTTGATCGCTCAAATCCCTGCACAATGCATCCAGTCGATGGCCTTCTTCGATCCAACGCGACAGCTTGTTTTCAATGATAGATGAGTCATGACTGGTCAAACCGGATGCATGTATCACCCGTGCGATTTTTGCCATATGGACAGAACGCAACTGTTGCGAGCAGACCATGAGTTTCAAATGGTAAAAGGAGACCTTGAGGAATCGTGTGCGTATCGAATCAAGCCCTTGCCGTGACTCTAACGACACCAGGCAGCTATAGAAGCCCCCAATACAGTTGTCGAGCTCAAGGTTGACGTCTGATCCTTTAACAAAGAAAGAAAGAGGGTCATCCTTCCAGGATGTAATATTTGTCTTCACTTCGTCCGGAAGAGTTGTGCTCAACTCAGACTCTTCAGTATTCCTGCGAGCCAAAAGCTTTTTTGTTTTCTTCCCAGTGTCTGAGCTTCTCTTTGCCTTTCTTTTCTTTTCCAGTCTACCCGTGGCGGAAACCACGGGTTGGTTGTGTGAGTGATTCTGTCCCGTAGAAGTAATGTCGGTGACGTATTGTCTACGAACTTCACCTTGGGTCTCTGTGGGCGTCAGAGTCTCGATTCCAGATATGCCTCTGATATCTTCCTGCATATGTGTTGGAAGACAGGTCCATGCTTTTCGGAGAATACTTAAAGTCTTCTATTGAGTCAGCTATGTCGAGAATGATCACTTATGAACATACATGCGGATCCGGAAAAATATCTTGACTCCCATTTCTCTGGTTTATTTCTGCCGTATCACAGGCAAGGGAAATTTCAGCTATATAGGCTCTACTCACAATAAGGCCCATCGTGCTGTGAAATTTATTTAATGTCAAAACCCAGGACAACAGCTATGGCTTATTAACCCCGCAAGAGGGTGATATGCGGGAAAGGGAATTACCATTGATCCGATAAAGGCACACCCACCAAGGAGGGATAATCAAGAGAACCAAATCATCGGACGTCCCCTTACAAGTGTGATTATACAGAATTTATTTTAACATTATCAGCAATTTAGTCTTTCGCACGGCTTTGCCCTTCTTAATGTACTTGGCTTAATACTATCCAGCCGGTTCCCATTAGGTGAAAGAGAATTGATTGGCGAGGCCATCGCTCGGAACCAATAATGCCTGTCTGAAAACATTCCGCGAGTTTTTGTAAGCAGTTCAATGGCAGCCGCTGGTAGGCAAGGCACAATTCCGGGGGGCAGGCTAGCACAAGTTTTTGGGGGAAGGCCATGCACTTCTTTGCGTTAATGTTATGTATGGATTAATTATATGTTAGCTTACATCCGAATGCTGAGTTATTTGACTTGCTACATGCTTCTTCCTTGCCAAAGTTTCGTGAATATTTGAATACTCTGTCAGGAACAATTTACTCTGGCAAATACCCATTTTGGTGCCAAGTGATGGGTCTATCGCAAATGTTGACTCCGCTCCAGCTAGCATGTGGTGAGCCACGGCAAATCATAGCCACCAAACTAGCATTAAATTAACTTAGTAGTTGGAACAGGCCTAGAATGTGATACATCACATTGATACGAATTGAGACTCCTGATCAACTTACACCAATGCCACCTGCCAGGCAGCAATATTTTGCGAGTCTTTCGTTGGCTATGCTGGCTGCCAAGAGTGCCGGCATTTGAAGATCCTGATAAAATAGCCAATATACGATCAGGTGTAACAAAATAGTGGGCATTAGAGTTTTTCATCTGGGTGATGGGGTGAACAAGAGGGTGAGCGGCTCACCCATCTATTGTGCACTCACCCAAGCTCACCCTAGGTCGCGCGACGTTAAAGCGGCTCACCCGCTAGCTCACCCGGGCGGCAGCCACCCGACTTCTGGCCGCGTTTAAGCCACACGCCGGGAGGTTAGTAGTTGGGTGGGTGACCACCAGCGAATCCCTCCTGTTGTATGTCCGTGTTCACCCATTGTTTTTGATTCGTTGGGTTAGTGCCCTTGCCGCCTTACCTTCACCCGTGTTCACCCTCCTTCACCTGAAGCTCACTCTAACCCCATTAAAACTCACCCAATAAACCCCACCTTGGCTTGACCAGCTGACGTGTTCTTTTTATCTACCACCCCATTATCTAGGCTAAGCCAATCTTTAGATTTTATTACTTAAGTTTGTCTCGTGATCGGTATTCATGCTCTCTTTGAGGCGCCTCTGGTTTCTTTAATCGATACAGTAATTATATAGCATGCTTAGCTGATGAATATTGAAAGCTGGCTGGAGAAGCTCCCTGACACGTTACAGTCTGTTCGACCTGAGGATTTACTAATCTCGAACTTAACCAGCTCCCCGTCTCAAGTGGAGGGAAAGAAACGAGTATTATCTATGTCTTCTCGGCAACCTAGTCCTTCGAAACGGCGACGAACCGATGTAGATGACACTGACCAAAGAACATCGGTTACTTCAGAAATATCGATTTCCGACCGTACGAAGCTACGCTCTAGTGCATCTAATGCATCGCGCCAAGTTAGCCCTACGCGCGATATCTTTAATCAACTTCGTTTGGCAAAGCCCGCGATTATATGCGAGCCACAGGCCTCGGGCCTTATACCAAATACCGTGTTGTCACTACGAAAGCGTCTTACAGATGGATTTGGCCAAAAAGTTATTCCCAGAGCGTTTGAGGTACTGATATCAAGCATCCTTTGTTCTATCACTACTGATTATCAGTTAGTCTCGAATACGCGCATCTGACCCAGCTGGTGCCGAAGATATTCCCGACTCTGCATACTTCGACTCCACACATATGTCAGACACTATCCTCGATGCCATGTGGAGTGAACTTGAGGAAATACGCCTAGAAGCTAGGTATTGTGATATGTACGGAAAAGATGAGAATGCTTGGTGCCTAGACGTCGTTCAGCCTATCCTTCGTCTATCACTGAAAGACGAATCTAAACTACAATTAACTAATGTGTGAGTGTGGGCACTTCTATCTGGAGATAAATCGCTAACTGTATGGTCTTAGACAATCACAACAGATTGATGGAGACCTACTCCCTATAGTAAAGAATAATCTAACACGGATTAATAAAAAGGCAGATTATTCCTTTTCGTATTCCTGTCGCGACCCAGAAGTCTGCGAAATTTACCAGAAGGTTAGCTTGGGCGGTCCTGGTTATAAGATTAGCCACACAACCGATGCATTTACTAAGCGGACTATACTGTTCTCTGGTATAGAAGTTAAAGCCGATGACGGTGGAAAGAAGGAGGCACTCGCCCAACTTGCAATCTGGTTAAGTGCAAATCTTGAAAGGCTAGTCCGTTTAGGTGAATTGGTCAAAGGGCCATTGAATCCAACCGATTGGCTGTTCCCTACTGTCGGTTATACCGTTATCGGCCATGACTGGTTTACCTACATTGCCTACCGAGTTGGAAACGAAGTGGTAAGATATTCTTCCATATTACATGACAAGTTGCATGCTACTAAACACAAAACAGCATGTTATTGGCCCAATTAGTTCTGTACTTGTTGACACCCGATCTACATACGGTATCTTAAAATTGTGTGACTTGGAGCGCAGGGTGAAAGAGTACGCCGTACGCGAGTATTGGCCGTGGATACGAAAGGAAGTTTTATATCCACTAGCAACCTTGGGCGAATAAGGAGGCGGCATTCCTTACCTAGTTAAGAACTAAAGCCTTGAGATTAGAGGGTAGGATTCCTAATAGTCGCGATCTTTCGTTAGATGTAGAGCCCCTCATAACTGGTGTGGGGTTCGAAATCTTTCCTCAACTGCCTCAGTAATCCACGCCATGAAACACAGAAAGGGCAAGTATATTACTATATTTGCTTTGATAGGTACTAAGAGGTGCTGAGTGTAGAGCGGTGTCTCTTTGCTTTTATCTTGCTTATTACATCTCAGGCCTGTGCTAGCATAAGTCAGCTAAAATCTATTTGGTCAGTATCCAAGATTATCCAATGCTAGATGCAAGCATAGGTTATCGACAGAATCATGCGCCAGCCAAGGGAGTATGTTCACGTGGCTGACTTATCTAATGTCAAACAATGCGTTAACTTACTATTTTGGGCTAGAATGAAGAAGGTTAAAGGACAATCTCGGTTGTACATATTTCCGTGACCGATTTACGGTAGCCCATCGGGTAGTAACCCCTCACTGACCCCACGACCGAGAATTATAAGGTCATAGTACGAACGCTTCACTTCTCCTTTCAAATCTGGCCTTCTTTTTCTTCTCAATACTAGCTTCTATAGTACAGTTTGTTCTTATGAGACAGTTGGTAAAACAAGAGATTGAAATATCCCCACAATAACGCATCAAAACATCTAGTATGTTGAGCTGCTGCTTTTGGTATATGTTTCCCTAACAATTTTTCAAGGTTGCAAATGGATCCTGCAGTTATCCGACATATGGATATTGCCACTAATGACGGCCAAGACTCCTTGAAACTCCTACAAAAAGCATTACAAAGCGCCGAAATTGAGAAGAACGAAGATAATGGGAATGTGCAATACTCAAACAAAAGCCTTGACAACAAAGTTCTTCCTCTACTTAAATGTCTAGACCTGGCGGTAAGTTGGAGTGTTATTGATCTTGGATTATGCTAAGATATCTGGTAGGAGCTAGGTTACACGGCATGGAAAATTGTAACGAGAATACCCATAAAAAACAAAACTGGTCCAGAATATATTATCCCTGTTCTCTGCATCCCTGGAACCGAACCAAAGCTCGTACCTCGAGACAGATTACATCCAGACTCCCATATCTATCATGATAAAGCAATGGACATACGCCCCGGTTCTTATATATATCACGATGGTCCTGTAGACCTTCTCCCTGGGCTGACGTGCCTATTTGTCGGAAACCCATCATAAGCTCAATTAGCTTAACAAGCGGATAAATCTTGTTGGTTTTGGCAGGAGGAGTTATGCGCCACGAAGGTACGTGTTTCTGTATGATTTGGACTTGCTCCATGTGGTAATAGCCAATCATTTGAGTATAAGATGGGTCGTGCGCCTTGCTCATACCCAGAAGAGTCTGCAGATAAATCGCCACCATTGTATACTTGTTGGGCTGCTTTCATGTAGCTGGATGGGTCGAAAAATGATTCTGATATTCCTTGTGTAGCACCGACGCTCGCTCTACTCTCGGACACTAGTGCATCATTCGCATTTGAAGTGTTTTGCAGATCTTGTATATCCCTCATAGGATATATGGAATGCCCAATACTATCGTCGTATGGTGTGTCGACTGCCCGCATGTAGTAAAATGATGGGTCGAAGAATTTCTCTGTCAGACCTTGTGACACTTGTCCATAATCTATATCCGTTGTATTTATTTGTGATGTGTCTCTTGAAGCAGTTTCTAGATCCCGTATGAATATTGACTGATCGATAGACGCTCCTATGGTACCATTATACGACCAGCCAGCCGCCCGCATATAGCTTGACGGGTCGAAGAACCCTTCTGGTAAGCTTTGTGCAGAGTCTGTACTTGCATTCAATTGTGGAGCGCCGTTCATGTCCAAGGTAATTTGTGGAGTTTCTGCGGACTTCGAAGACCTTAAGGATGGAAGAATGTTATTATACGTCTCAGGAACCGATTCCATATATATGGAAGGGTCAAAATATGGTTGGTATGAGGGATTCGAATCGCCGGGATTAGGCGTGTTTACAGTGAAAGAGGCGAATGGTGTAGCTGTGATATTCGCATCAGAACCGTTTTTAGATGCCGACGCCGACTGCTCGGTTTGTCGAGAAGTAATGCTGAAATCCTTATTTATAGCTCTATATGCCTCTGAACTGCGATACTCGATATCCTTTCGGATATCGTATACCTTCGGATCCTATGGCAAGTAAGAATAATCCCACACCATTCTAGGGTGTCGAATACCTGATTTCCAGACTGTGATAAGGTATCGAGATGGGACACTCTCGATGTATCCCGCGATGCACATTCATGTGCGTTTCCGGCATCCTCTCTCGATTGTTTACCCATGGTATCTAGGCTTTTTACCGTTCGTTGTGGTTTAGAAAGCGCTTGTTCTGTCTGCGAAGATTTAGACAAATCTTTAACTTGAATTACTGTCGGAGACTTCAAGCAATAGTGCTCTGAAAACTGTCAGTAATATAAGGTTACTAAAGAATCCTGACGAATACATACGATTTTGCAGCGCTTGGGCATTGACTACACTTCCAGTGGCCTCAGTGTTTTGCAGCCGAGCTTTACCGAGATCGTAGAACTTATCGTTGTGTGTACGCTTATGGACTTTGTTCGCTTTGGCGTCCATCCCCCTGCCACGATATTTCCTTTTCCTAGAGGCTGTGCATATAGACAGTATATAGGGCATGTCGAACTCGTCCTTCATTGAATCCAAGTGATAGCGCAACACGGCAGTTGCAATATTGTGTATGTGGGTTTGGTTGGCCTCGTCTTCTGTATTGTGGAGTCTGTCATGTAGTGACCTGATCAAATTATCGCGTCTCTGGCCCGACGATTTTGGAACTTTCTCTAACCAACTGCCTAAGGTATCAGCATGCAAATTGTGGCCATTGATATACACTTACAATATCTCTCCATATTCAAAAGGAAGAAGAAACAAAACCCTTTCACTCCCCAAATCCCGTACCAAGAGCTCAAACCTCTCACCATATTTTACCCAGCGTACCAATTCCCCTCGTATCTTCTCCTCGGTGAATTCGGATAGACCTCCTTGCACAATGCAGATTGAAATGGCGGTATAGATATCATGGTGAGTACCGATTTCTTTAGCATAAAATTGGTAGACTCGATACCAAAAAACATAATAAAATCGTGAGCGCACCTTTTCGACGACTGATTCTTTGGTGTTGCATGCAAGACGAAAAATTCGTACTAGGAATGGGATTTTTGTTCCTGAAGAAATGTCGGAATTGTCTGATCCAAAGATTTGTGGCTTTCCCCCCCATTTATTGATGTATGGTTCTAAGGCCGGATGAAGTACTATTTTAGACGTTTCAGTTGCGACACGATCCGCTCTGTTTTGAGAGCCCTGAATAAACTTCAGAAGTCTGATAGCATCCTGCTTAATATCCTATTACCATTAGCGATCCCCTTGTTTTGGTGATAAGTGACACCTACATCATTTTCATCGAAAATATCATCCTCCAGTAGTTCTTTACCACCAGCTTGAGCTCTCGCACACGCATTTAGCACACAATCTGCAAGGTGTCTCGCTACAGAGATCTCCATTGTTGCATGTGAGGAAGAGTTGACCAAATTACTTAGACTCCGGATGGAATGGGGACCATCAGTCTAATATGGAGAACTTCCCCTCAATTTCACCACATATGTATTAAGCTGAATGACTCTATTGGTTGTTTCGAATCTTACTTTTCCTTATGAGTGCTAGTGCCATACAGCTGACGCCAAACATCTCTTGGCGATTTGTCCCTGAGACCGTGGGCACCCACTTCTTCTCAAACCAAAAGATAAAATGAGCACCTGCCTTATCGTAGCTGGATATAAGAGTAATGGAAGTAGTAGATAATGCCTGGGAAAAGTTACGTTCAGAAATCAGCCTAGCAGAAGAGGATTTCGTTACGTTCACTCACGTGACGTACTGGGGAACAGAGGTAATGCCGAAGGTTTTTCCATTCCTGGATCTGGACAACATTGCCCATGTTGCGCAGCGTCGACAGCAGCGCTGAACCTCATCTGGAGCATTCATACACATAACACGCCCTACTCGCCCTGTGTATGCTTTGATAAATTATTTTACTATTCATTATTTCTTTTGGTATAGTAGAAGGTGGCTACTGTTGCCCCTTGAGGCGCGACTGCTCGGTATTATGTCTGTGACTGTTCACTCTCTGATAGTTGAGCCTGATGATTTAATCCCGAGGGGGGGACATGCCGAAGGTAGGAATATCACTACTGTTTCAAACAGAAGTCGTGCTTTTGTGGCCATTAACACTGATATATCAAGGTTCTGACTTGGGGCAACTTACTCCTTGGGTATTCGAACATGCCGATATCGCCGATAGTGATTGCACCGAATTTTGGCCTCATGAAAGAGAGGACTTCAGGGATTTCTTCTGGCTTCTTAATTCATACTACGATGAGCTGAATGAAGCCAGTGAAAAGAATATCACACATGCCTTGAAAGTAACCGAGACGATCACACTCCCGAAGAAAAATTGGAAAGTCTCTAGAAGAGAGTACTTCGCCAACTTAATGAGGTCGCAAGGTATGCTACTGAGGGTATTAGTGCAAACAGTCTATCGTAAGCTTAAAGATCATGGATTGGAGACTCAACTTCAGTAAGTTACCTATCAGCTACTATCTCGCCTATGACTCGATACTAATACTTATTTCAGCTTCCCTGTGTCAAAATTTAAACAAACATATGTTATTGGCGGGGAAAGGTATGCTTCCAGACCAGACGGAGCAGCTATGGTTGGTCCACAAGAGCGACGTTTGCCTATCCTCTCCTTTGCTGGTGTAGGTTTACAATCTTCCCTTACTACAATAAATAGCCTAACATAATTTTAGTGGTATGAAGGGCAGACATGGGGTGAATTTCTAGCAGAAATTCTTAGTATAATGCTGGGGCAGCTTGCAAGAAATCGCAACGTAGATTCCCGAGACCAGGAAGCCTTTATTATTGGATTCCATGGGCGATGTATCTATATTGCCCGTGGATATTTTACGAGTGAGTTAATTTCGCGGGCACATCTCAAAGGCTGCACAGAAGATGAGACTATCGAGATACAATTCACACGAGGCTATGATCTCTCATTGAAGGAAGACTGGCTTGAGGCTATAAATACACTAGCCAGGCTACTCCGATATCTTTCTAAGCGGAAACGCTGAGATGAAGACCTCATAGGCCTATATGCATATTCCTTCCAGTCCTAACGCATGTATCTAAATTGTTGTCGCTATCACTCGAATGTTATGAATATACTCCTATATGATATCATAGAACGAATTAAATGTATTTAACAAATTGAAGAATCTTCGATACACAATCAGTAGTACCTTGCGACTCGATATTTAGTTTCTGGACTGATTGCGCTAGGTTCAGTATGCGACGTAGTGGTATATTTTTGTATACGGAATCCGGCCTACTTGAATTCGTGCGAGTTGGAGACAAAGGACTATCCAGGTTATAGAAGTGGCCGCTATAGTCTCCCAAGGAAGCACAGTAAAAATCAAACAGTAACAGGATCGAGGAGATGTCCTTCGACTAGGACTTGGCCTTATATCCTCTATACTTCCACACCCACATCCCTGTAGTGTAATAGTAGATGCTTTATGTCCCAAAGACCATCGGACTAAAGAACAAGAATAATATTATTAAGAATACAGTGAAATCAATAATATCCATTGCTACAACATTCTGCCACGAATCTCATGTACAAGTTGGCATCTCCTGGTCCTCGAATGATTTCCGGAGAGCCTGAACCACAGGATAAAGACTTTTTCCCCACATCCATCCCCTCAGACCATCAATTTTCCAGTACTAAGCACTAACCAGAAAGAAACTTGACTGCGATCAAAGGGGTCTCAAACACTGGCTTCCTGGATCGCTGAGCTTACAATGTTGACTTTCGCCATTCCACTCACGACATAGGTAATTAGTGCCCAAAGAAATCTGAGGGCCTCGCCTCTGTCATCCACCTTTTTAAGGTCAAAGTGAACTGACCTTCTGACCCATAAGAAATTGGCGCCTGTTACCCCTGGGTACGAGCCTGTTTCAAGGTACTCTATATACTCGGCTGAGAAATGAGCAGTGCTCACATAGAAGTTTGAGCCATGCATGCTGAGAACGAATGATTCCTGGGTGTCATGCCTGACAGGGAGACGCATATGGTTTTGGGCAAATACCGCCCCTATCATTTCGGCAACCTCCTGGGCGAACACTATTGGACTGAAAGGTTCAGGCTCTCCAGAGCGACGTTTCAATCCGCCAGCGTGACGAGGTTTACACTGTTGTCCCAGAGCAAATGTCAGATCTCCGAGAAACACCAAAAAAAGTACATTGCATATTACCTCCACATTGATCACAGAGAGCCGTGATTTTCTATCAGAGCCAGAAACACTTCCAGGGAAGTTGACGGCAAGATGTCCATCATTTACAACGTCGTGCGAGACTCCTCCAAGGCGAAATTTAAACCGGACTGGGTCGGCATAACTGTCCCACAAGTCAGAAAATAATACATCCATGGAGCCTGAAGTTTCTCACCTAGACAGATGGGGCTTCTTCCTCCCTTCCCTGGCCGGTACAGGTAACTTTCTGAATGTACCCATACGCATCAATGTGAAGTTGACGAAGTCTCTGAGAGCGGCCTTGCTGACAGTCTCATGACTATCCTCGTTACTAGATGTAGAAAGTTCAGTTGTGACCGAACTGACACTTATATTTCGTTGATGGGCTCGAATGACCGACTCCTCAGATGTATTTGTTGTGCTAAGCTCTGCAAGGTAATTGAAGAAGCCTTGATACGGATTGTGTGTGAACTTGTCTGGGTCGAATTCTTTAAGGTCATCAACCGTGGCTGCTCGAACATGCCTAAATAGGGCATAAAAAACTAGAAAAGAATGGTATTAATGTTATTATCATTCAAAGTGCATTGCTATGTCATCTTACCCTCGTTATCATCTCCAGGAAAGTAGCTTTCGGGGATAATACGGGTTGGATCAAGGCGAACCAGAGGAACAGCACGGACAGCATTGACCTCCTCAATACTCCATTTAGAGCCTGAACGGCCACGACGATTGGCATCTTCCTGAAGACCGGCAGTAGCCAAATCCCCGGCATTATTCTGGTACTCCTGTGCTAGGGGGTGTTGGAGTTCTGCACTCGTTGGGACAAAAGGCATGATGGCTTCTAGATTCAGCAGGACTTTGATCAAGAAAGGGATCAGTTGCAATCGTTGGGATGTTGAAGAAGATGTTAGACGTCGGAAGAGTTGAAGGAATTGGTTAAGGTGGGTAGTAATAGAGAGTCTACTAAAGATGGCAATGTGCCTTTATAAGGTAAGAGGTTCACTCTCCTCATTGCATGTGCCGATATCTATACTGTCTCCACAGGCATCCGAAAATTTCTCTGACTGGAGAGGATCAGGATTGGCGTGAATTAGTCGTTGAGAACTGGCCAGAACCCGAAGTACGTTGTCTTCTACGATGCCATTTTGATTATCGCCGTAATGTGCGAAGTATAGTTATCGACATTGACCAGTCAAGAGCTAACTTGCTGGCGGGCTTGTGATGACGGCATGACATTAGCTTGGGTATCAATGTCAAACTTGGAGCATTGGCACTGACCAGTCAAACGCTAGGCGCTAGCTGCATTTAATGTACCGGGCAAAACTGGAAATGAACTTCAAATCGTTGACCGGTCAAACGCTAGGCGTTAGCTGCATTTAATGTACTAGGTAAAACTGGAAATGAACTTCAGAACGTTGACCGGTCAAACGCTAGGCGCTAGCTGCATTTAATATACTAGACAAAACTGGAAATGAACTTCAGAACGTTGACCGGTCAAACGCTAAGCGCTAGCCGCATTCAATATAGGCAGGATAAGCTTTAGAAATAGAGTTTCTGGCTTGTCAATCTAAAGCTGGAGTATAGCTTTAACTATTGGTTGGTTATGATGACAATTTACTAACTAAATATCAAAGAAAATACAGTTTGATATATAGATATCAGTACACTACCTGTTGGACACATGCAGCCCGCATAGTATCCTCAATGATAGAGATAGAAGACTGGCGTAATTATCTATAGCCCAGTTAAGTTAATTTGACTCTAAGTATAATTGAGAGCCTAGAACAAGTGAATAAGATCTTGCGGGTAATTCAATCTAACAATTTCGACTTTAGCATATGCATGGCGAGCCTTTAGGAAAAGTATGTCATATACATAATACCACATGGTTCAGGCGCTAAGACACCATAATCCTGATCCAATACAATGGATTATTATCCAGTTAGCTCTTGTCGATCCTAGATCAGTCCATTCTAGGAAGCCTACAGCTTCACTGCGTTTCATTTATCCAGAATCAGCAGTCCTAACCTTGCCATAAATACCTCAGAGAGTACAATTAGGAATATAAAATGCCAGCCTTGTCGATACACACCGCTGTTTCGCACAGGCCAGTTCACCTCTTCGATACGCTTTCTTTCATGGAAGTTCTCAAACAAGTCAAGATGTTCCACATTACAAGCCTCTTCGAATCCCTTGCAGCCTGTTTCTCCAAATCAGCCAGAAGACAACCAACAGCTGTCGAAGCTCTCACGGGAAATGTTACAGAGCAACAAGATATTCATCCCCTGCCAAACAGCGAACGGTCGAGAGCTATCAAGGCTACCAATGTAATGTTTATGGAACATACATTGAAAAAATCACCACAAGATATTATCGAGGCAGAGACGAAGTGGGGAATATCCTTTTTCAGGGACTATTCAGGCTACGAGATAGAAGATTACGGTTTGTCTCGTATAGTACTTTCAGCTCGATACCAAAACGATCCCAAGAAAATACGTTTCGTGTCCTGCCCAAAGGTTATCTATACCCATGGCTTGGAGCAAGAAAAGCGAGACTTGCTTGAAATCAAACTTAACGCTGTGGCGCGCTCGATACCATGGGACACGCTCGAGGACCGTTTCCAGATAGAACGAGACGATTGGTTTAAATTTTCCGATGTGCCGGAGGGAATGCAGGAAGAATTGCAGGAATGACTTTAGATTTATTCTTCGATTTTTGTTTTCCTTTCTGAATTTTATGTATCTGGAAAACAGAGATATAAATGTAACAGGCATCACACCATACGACCGGTTAAGATATACTCGCCCAGACATCAATACATTTCTTACAGTAAACGATGGACCCACTGGTTTTCATTGAGAGATGCGTTGCTGCTTGGTATATCATTATTATTGTTTGTGTTTTTAAGGAATATATTAAAGAGTATATTAAAATTTCTCTTCGTCATATTCTTCGTTGTGTGATTCATCGACTGCGGAGACAACATGGGTAAGTATATTGTTTCTATTCTGAGCATGGAAATAGCTAATAGATGTATATACGTAGAAGGGAGACCAGGCAATCACCTGTCTGATGCGAGAGTGGTGTCCGGCAAGCGAGGAGGGCAATCCTTCGGAGGACAACCATTGAAGAAGCAGAAGAGCTCGAACCTACTTCAATCTCCAACCGATGACCACCCCACGGAAAGATTATTTGATCTTACCAAGAGCCCCACGGATGGAACACCAGGTGATGAAGACATAATTGTACCAGATCCCGAGGAAACAGAAGGCCAAACACTTTCTCTGAAGGAAGCAATTGTACTTGCTTGCAATGCCGCGGATAAGATGAAGCAGTCATAAAAAGAATATTAAGTGCTTTTTATGGTATTTATACATTGATTCGTAGGGCATTACTTAGACTGTAACACCGTTAACAGTGGCTCCAGCATAAAGTAGAGTACTCATGTATCACATAATGTATCTTATAGGATCGTAAAGCCAACGTTCCTGGAATAAACCAATTAATAACTTCTAATACTTAGGTCTATAGTGCAACATGGGCATCGGTCAGAAAACAACTTCGCAGACTGAACACATATAATCTTACTGGGCCATTCCCTTAAGGAAAAAACCATGGAGTGATGGATAATTGAGAGGTAGACTGATAGGCCGCTAAAGTCTACTTTGTGCCTTAGCCAGGTGTCCTTTTTTTTGGAACATCCAACCAGGCAAGCTGGTTATAGAGATCGAATAATAAATAAATAGGACCTAGTCAGATGTTAGTCACCTTCCATTTTTTGTTCCGTGGCCCGATGTAACTGTAGATCACAATATTGAAGCCAAAGCCACTAATACTCGGATGTGATACACAGTACGTATTGCCGTAATTTTAACATAGTATACTAAGTATAAATTAGAGTGAGTAGCATAAGAGAGCATTGCTTAACGGTTTTAATTTCATCTATACTATCTCGATCAGCCTATACGTTTTACATCGAATACCACAGAGAGAAAGTCAAGGTAATGCTCCTAGGCCTACTGTATAAGCGGCCTCGGCCTCAGGACACCGTCTCCGGAAGCAAGTGCATACACCAAGGAAACGTTTCCAATTCGACTCCGGAGCCTATGTTACCTCCTGGGACGATGGAAGACTTGATAGACTTCTACACTAAGCAATATCCGAGGTCTACCCATATAGCTACGCAAGGAGCTACCATGGAATCAACTTTTGTATATCCCGATATCGCTACTGCATTTGAGTAAGTCAATTTCAACGTTAATATTTTCTAGGTTACTGATGATTGCTTGATAAGGAGACTCATCATTACTAAAATGCCCCCGGATCTCTTATGGTGCATGACAAATCTGCAATTTTGTCTTTCAGCTTGGATGGGATTAAAATGTGTCTCTCAGCCGGACCAAGATGCAGTTCAGTCACTGGCAATGTTTCTCCTGAACTCTTCCGACCCAATTGCTTTTTTCCTGGGATTGGGGGTTCAGATTATTTTCTCTGGCCAGAGAATATCCAGCTCGATGCACCTGAAACCGGATGTTATTGCGCACGCGTTGCACGGGATCGTCGCAAATAATATTCGATCCGACGAGCAGATAAACCTTTTCGTGACGGCTTGTACAGCAAAGGAAGGTTTATATCTTGATATACCGGAAACTGAGGAAACCGAGGAAATCGAAGCAATAACAACTCTGCGGCGATTCTTTGACGAGATCATCGCGATCAATACCCTTCCACTACAACCCAGCAACGAGCTTCGCGAGTATGCAAGGCTGAGGTTCCGAATGTTTAATCACCGCTCATCCATGCGTCTTGTGTTCCCAGCACCAATCAACATTTTGCTTGTCCTTCACGATATCGAGGCCTTGGTTGTCGAAGCATCAATGCCCGAAAGCCTAAGTAAAGATGATACTGTTCGCAAGCTTTCAGAAAAAATTGCTTCGACTGCTGGTTTCTTACGATTACTTACGAGAGATCTATGGGTTGAGTCGCCGGAAGCCCTCAAGTGTGTTACTGGAAAATTCAATCTGTACGGACAGATGGTGATGGTAAGCCAGGGCCTAGAGATGGCGATTAATATTGGGCAACTTTCTGCATTTGATGGTTCTTTATCTGTTTTTCGTGAATCGTTGAAGCAGCAGATAGAAGATATGAGGGTTTTTTGCGACTGATGGTAGGGAAGCACCATAACTGTGTGGATGTACAGCAGTATTTGATAGCGTAACATAATTACAGTTTTAAAATCATTGCATGTCAGAAAGATAAATTTGCACTATATTCACTGGGTCCAAAAACTTTAGTGCTCTTGGACTCAAGTTTATTTTTTTCTTATTTTTATTTTCAAGTTATTGTCCGCTAGGTTCGCATCGGCAAAAGAAAAAAAATAAAGAAAAAAAAAGGCGAGAGAAAGAGGGACCACTCCACCCCCTAAGACAACATAGGCTCAAGTCATTGGCCCGATATGCCAGGGGTATAACCGGGCACAAACCTTCTAAACATGTTGGTTCGGTCATTGGTCACGGCTAGAGCACCTGGTAGAAAGGGCTATGTATTAGTTGTTCGATAATAGCTCTATTAGAAATCCAAATACTTAGGAATTTTACGTGTATGTACTGTACATTTTCCTAACACGTATAGTATTTCTTTTGGAGTAGTGGTTATACGGTCTCGAAAACCTAGATTATCCAGTGGAAATTAGCACCGCTGGGTAGAGCCCAATCATTAAGCAACTACTATATGAATACTTTTCTGGTCTATAATGTATTTAATTCCTTTCCTTTTTCTTCTCCTACATTACTCTCCAACCTTCTTTCAGTGTGCCACTTGTGCTCCTGGAATCTTTGAAGCGCAATCACTTGAACTCCTCCTGAGGTAAGGAAACCTTTCTTCTGGTCGTTCAGCTACTGAGTACTTGGTCCTAGGAGCAGTAAAATGTCGGGAGAATCTCTCAAGTTCCTGATTTTAGAAGCAACGGCAATGTCAGGCGAACCTTCTGCCACTGGTCTACCACCGCCATCTCCTGCAACCACCGCTACTGCGAGCTTCGTGGACCGCAATGAGTTTTTTTCCGAGGGACAGATATTCTATGCAGACGCATCATTCAATGGTTTGTGCCCTAGTTATTCAAAAGATACCAGGCTGACCAGGGATAAAGACTCAGTTGTAGTGAATGTCCAGACCACGTGTGGGGGATACGGCTTAAAGCCAAACCGAGAAGAACTGCGCCAAACGTGCCAGCGTCTGTTCAGGAAACCAGAGAATTTTACCTTTGCCGAGATGTATACTGTCATGATGCATTCTTCTCCAGTGCAAACATTGACTGGACAGTCCGGGAAGTTTTTCTTGAAGTATATCAGAGATCAGCTTCAGAATCCCAAGTTCTGCAACACTAAGGACGGTAAACTGGCAACTCTTGCAGTCCAACTGCAGGCCCAGGTTTGGGTGAGATTGAACAACAGTGGTCCTGCACGTCCGGCAACGTTGGAATACCTGTGGCCTGAGATGAAGGAAGATGGTACAGCTCCGGTTACTTGGATAATGTCGGGAGTTTTCAATGGTTACTCAGGATCATTTCGGTTATGTGGGACGCTTGACGAACTCATCAACTCTCTTGACCATGAAGAATAAGTAAATCTCGGCTCTTACTAGCAGCCTTTCCGAGCAGTGTGTGTTATGACATCCATAGCCTAACCCGTCTACTGTTTTTTGCCCGTGATGGGCTAAAAAGATATACCTTTACTGTGCTGAGCGGGCCAGAGACTATCGGGGAACTTATAGCTTTCCTTCTCGTCTAATGAATATTGAATATTAAGCTTCTCATCGATCGCTCCCACCCTTTAAGAACATAAGGATTCAAGCCACTGGCGTGAATTAGCAGAGGCGTGAACTGTGGTAACCATTTCAACTATTTTAACTCAGAAGTGAATAGCTTCTGAGTGCCCAGGAGAACGAGCAACGTCAGTACCTCGCATGGCGTCCCTCTCTCGTGCTTACAGGGACTAGAATTTACGCACTTGGAAGTAGGCGGATGTGTGGAAGGTTAAAAAAATACCTCGGTAACGTACTACTTTGTAACGCGATAATACAAAGGATACCTTCACTTCTATGATCCATACTTACTATTCTTCGAATTTAGGGTTGACGAGGTACGAACATATGCCTGTCTAGCCCTCATTGTATGCACAACATGCATGGGCTACGTAGCCGACCACTGGTAAATATTAGGCGCTATGCACCCTTCATCACACCGAGTGAAACTCTAAGCCGGGTATTTTTCTTTTCCTTTTTCTTCCCTTTTTTTATATTTATTTTTATTTCTTTTTTCTTCCTTTTTTTATTTTTTTATTTTTTTATTTATTTTTTATTTTTTCCCTTTTCTTTTTCTTTATGTAATATTACTTTCTAATCTTCGTTTCTTTTCCCGTTTTCTTTATTTATTTTATTCTATTATTTTCTGTCATGGACGAAGTGTCAGCTTGCGGAATGACCTATAAATAAGACCCTCCTCTTCAGGCAAAAAGGAATTGCATCCCCGAGAGACACAGAAGTCGAATACTATTGCCTTTGCTATGAATTCCACAAGTGTCATATCTGGCATGCTCCTGCCCCAGGTCATCCTCGAAGCCTTTATTCCTGGCTATGGCTGGCTTCCTCATCTTCTTACCTCCTATTTTGATATCGATAAATCACCGTATATGTTTGCATCTATAGCTTTTTGCTTGTACGCTCTACCAGTGTTCTGGGAACGTTTTCAGTCGTTGCTCCTGCGTCTTGCCGAGTCAGTTGAGATTCCGTACCACGACGAATTGTACGATCAAGTCATTCGCTGGATTTCGAGCCATCCTGGCTTGACTCAAACTAAACGGTCCACTGCCGTTACAAGATTGGATATCGCCCCATCTTGGAACACAAACAAAAACAAAAAGTCTTTTTCCGATGAAGATAATACGAAGCTGGAAAAGAATCCGCGAGAGTTCTGGATGGAGCAAAAGCTTCGAGATAAGTTAGGTCTAATCCACTTCACACCTGCGGCTTTCCAGACCAGTGTCTTCAAATATAACGGACGCTTGTTCGCCTTTAGTCGCCAACCAGAAAAAGATGCCTTCGGTTCATGGGCTGCGAGAAGGGAAAAGCTGCATTTTTATGCAGCCCCGTGGAATAAACAGGCTCTCAGAGACTTTCTCGCTGACATCCAAAAAACTGTTGCTGAAAAGGATAACGATAGTCTGGTGATAAGGCGAGCTTTCAAATATGGGTCCGATTTCCGATGGGCAGCTGCTCTTTCCAAGCAACCGCGACGGCTATCAACAATTGCGTTGGATCACAACCTGAAGAATCAGATTATCAGTGACATTCAAGATCACCTCCTCCCTCGTACCCGGAAATGGCACCAGTTGAGAGACTTCCCATATCGACGGGGTTATCTTTTCTATGGCCCTCCCGGCACAGGAAAATCAAGCTTCTGCCTCGCTATTGCTAGTCTGGTTCAACTTGATATTTACGTTATAGACCTTACTATGAATGGTCTTGATGAGAACACTTTGACTCTTTTGTTTCAATCTCTTCCGGAGAGGTGTATTGTTCTTTTCGAAGATGTGGATCAGGCCGGCATCCAGAAAAGGAAGTCCGAGAAGCCTTTGCTGGAAATACCGGAAGAGATGAATGGCAAAGAACATATTGTTGCCGAGGCTCCTGGCCGCTCGAATAGTATTACGCTTGCTGGATTTCTCAATCTCCTCGATGGTGTATCTGCACAGGAGGGTCGTATTTTAGTCATGACCACCAATCACATCGACCAACTTGATCCAGCTCTTTTACGCCCAGGGCGGGTGGATATGAAAGTCTTCTTTGGCTGTGCTCAACGGTTCGCCATAGCAGAACTATTTCTTCTCGTGTACTCGGAGCCTACGGATGGACTTTTCATGGCAAAGCAAATGCCGAAAGGCTTCGTCTATCCATTGAGCCTACCAGCTTCTCCAGCCTGGACCGAAAGTGAAATCGCTGATTTGTCTACGGCATTCACAGACAAGGTTCCTCCAAATCGGTATACTGCGGCAGAGATTCAAAATTTTCTTTTACAGTATAGATACGATCCATGGCTAGCACTGTCAGATGTATCAGAATGGACATATGGGCACCTCCGTCTTGGTTTGCATGAAAGTCTTTACAACTTAGAGACTTCGTGTGGTCGATTTAAGATTGACGGCACTTACTATCAACTCAATATAAGTGCCCTCATATTTTTATGGTCGCACCACGAAGCGACTAGTTGCCTTCAACCTCGCGTTCTTCTTCTTCAGCATATTGTTGCTGAGAATGTGCCCAAGATTTGGACGGCACCTATAGATACGGTCAGTAGAGAAGATGCGAGCTTGCAAGCTGCTCTTGAGCGACTGGTTGTTGCCCAGACTGGCCTGCAACTGTCAAAGACTGTTTACGATCTTCCTCTTCGATGGTGTACGGACCAACTTGACTTTCCCTTCATTATTCATACTTCTCCGCAAGAGCCAGGGTGGGAGGATGAGATAGTGATCAACCGGGAAATGCATCACGGATATAAATGGGTGACAGAGGACAATTTGAGAAATGGAGAGTACTGCTGCCCCCATGAAGAGAAGAGCACGATACTAAAGGCATTCTCAATTGTCAGGGAGAAACATTGGGATTTGTTCTGACGTCAAGTATGTTTCCAACATTAAAAAATGGGAGGTGCTGTAGCTCTTTGGTATTCTCTAACCTTTCCCTACAGAGACGTTCGTAATATGCTTGAGATGGATATGGTAGCAATTCCATAACAATGTTGAGGAGAGCTTGGAGCACAGGAAATTTTTGCATGTACCTAACACAGTGAAAAGTGACATACTGAGGGCTAAAACGTCCGTGGGATTGCTCCCCCAAACACAAATCAGAGCGAGGAAGTATCGATACAATTATCATTTCTTTCCATTCATTGTAGAGAGAGGTCCTAGCACAGAAGGTAGTTCTTTCTTTTTACTTTAATCGCCTTTAACCACTTGGAGCCTAGCTCTGGTGTCGGTCCATGGATCGGGGATTGTAGACTGTTAACAGCATTGTTAGAGCAATATATTAAGAAGGTTCAAGGTTCTCACCTAGAAAACTATTCCGTCTCTGCATAGTTGCCGCCATTTGTTCTCTAGAGCAAACGCAGTTCGCCGACGGTCTTCCGGCACAGCTCGATTATAGGTATCTTCGACTTGGATCCAAGACATTCCGGACTGCTTAAGGTAAATCAAAAGCTGCTCCTCTTCTGGATAATATGTCTTGTTATGGCCGGATGCGAGCGATTCAGAATCATTGGATGACATATCGATAGAAATATTATAAGAGTGTATGTTAAACCACGATCGACTGCGGATCAGCAGTGTACGATTGATTGTAAAGAAAGTGATAGTCATTTATAGCATCGAGCCGTTCTTTTTATATATTCTCTGGCGAAGAAAACCAGGGAACACCTAAGAAATTCACAAGAAATGAGGAAGATTACGTACCGCGGCATCGGTTGGTTGTCAGATACTCTCGGGTGAAGTAATTGCGGCGTAGTCAAATATTTAGCTCTAGGTGTTGTCAGGATTGACTGGACGCGCTTCACTGGCACGACAAAAATTATATATATAAATAAAAAAAGAAAAAAAGCTGCGATATCTTTCCGGGTTATTTATATTGACCACTGATATTGTTTTTTTATATCATGTACTTGATTATAGCCAGGAATATAAATTACGCTGCGACACAGGTGAAAGATTATTTGGTTGGCATTGGACTCCATCACAGTCACACTATCCTAGAACCATAATTGGTTATACAGATCGGGTTGATCACAGCGCTTCCCGCGTCTGCTACAGTGGGTTCAGCTGCGGCGTAGTCAAGCGCCAGCCGACCCAATCAATATAAAGGGCAGCCCTACTTAATACCCCTGATAGAGCCGCGCCACGAGCTTTTCCACGAGCTAGTTCGGGGAAGCCAAATCCGAGTCACAGGTGGAGAATGCCGCAGGACTGCCTACTAGTAATTAATATATTCTGTATCATCTCACTGGCCAGATAAAAAGTCTTTGATCGAGCGATGCTCCAACAAAGCCAGGAAGGAACGGATTAAGGAAGGTGGCAGAGGCAACAGATGGGGTTTTGGAGTCAAGTCTCGTCAAAAGATACTATTATTCTATTACATAATGGTTGATGCGGCCTATTTGGAGGCTTTGTTCTGAAGGTAAGAAAAGGATTATTTACCGTCAGCTAATAGATACGGCTATGGTTGGAGTTTATTATACTGGAAGCCTCATCGGTGACTTGGTATTAGATTCAATCAACGGAAAGGCTCAATATTACATCCACCGTGAGACCCCCTACCACTCTACACCTCCTCAACTACGCCACGCCTTTTACCAGGCGTGAATACCGGTCGATTAATCTCTGGTTGAAAGGGGAGTTCGACCAAATCGACAATATCTTCCATGTTCGCTTGGATAACCTTCCGGATTTCTCTCCGTATGGCCCCATAAGCGGATACTATAACGGGTTAGATATGCAGAGAAACGTGTTTGGGGCAGCTACCTGTCACAAGAGCATTTCCCGGTCCCTTCCAAAACTCCTGCGTCACAGCCTTCCATGTATCGATAGGTCCTTGCATCTTCCAGATTCTGTCATGTAGGCTATTCCATGGTTCTGGCGCCCCGTGGCTCTTGGGGTTTCTTGGGATATAGAGCCCAAAGCGTAATATCTATACAGTATCAGTATAATGAATGCTTGAGTAAAGACAGGACAGACATAGGAGTGTTTATCCTGAGTTAGGAGTTCGTTCATCCAGTGGTGAACCGATCTTAAGTTTCCTGCCTCTTACTGTTAGCCATCACCTTCGCATTTATCTCAATAATGACTACCTTCTTCCTCAACTTCCCACACCACAAATATAGAGCGAGTTGGGTGTGCATTGGCTTCGAGTAACTCTCGGATATATGAGATCTGAGCAGTGATCCCAACCCCGGATGCTAACATAAGTATTCTTTGGTATGGGCGAAGATCAAAAAAGTTTCCATACGGCCCATCTATCCAAGTGATAAATTCCTTTGCACGATGCTCGATCAAGTTTCGTGTGAATCCACTCCTCCTATTTACCAGTAGGGTTATCTTGGTTGCTTTTCCAGTGTCGTTATTCTCCCACCAAGCTATTGTGAATGGATGACAATACAGAGCAGAAAGAAGGCTGACTCCCGGCATCCATATATAGACAGTCATTCCGGCTCGAACAGTGAATGGTCTATTGACTGGTATATCGATTTGTGCTGTCTGGAGGTCTGCTCCTCTAATGACACTCGCTCTCGAGCCACACTTGTGGCAGGTGACGTTGCGTAGAACAAGTAGTACCCAATGCAACAATGTAGTGAGGGCAAAGATGATACTGCCAACTAATACATATAATTGCGCAAATACCCGCTGGATATAGATGTGACGCCATATGGTACCAAGCGCAAGGATTCCAAGCCAATAGTGCATTTTGATAAAGACTTCGTATACCCATTTACGGAATACCACTATAATAAACGATGCAGCACATGCCGCGATGCCCTTGAAGCTGTCAGCAAAGTATCATGACTATAAAGGGATCAGCCTAGCATACTAGTATTCCGTAGAATTGGAGCTGTTCGTATGGGAGCCAACCGTGCTCTCGAATTGACATAACAGTGTGTAGTGTAGTTTGCACAAATGTCATCATTGCAAATGTTCTATGAACGTGAAGATAGGATCGGTAAGACAAGCCAAGGAGGTCTGCTGCGATATATATACGACCAGCAAGTAATAGAGAGATGAAGTTCAGAACAGCAATATTTCCTGCACGAGCAGCCATGGAACTAAGAGTATGTGTACCAACAAAGTTACAGGTTATAGTTCCCGCCCAGTATATAGACTGGAGTATGAAACGGTACCTGGATATATGTCCAAAGAGACGTGGGTAGAGCACATGTTTTAAAAAGAGAAAACATAATTTTCGATAAGTGAACCTGAACAGACGAGCAATCCAGTATCGCCATCGACGATCAGATGTCGGCACAGGACGATAGCTCGTAGGTGCAAAGCGGAATACAAGCAACAATAGTAGAGTTCCACCCAGGCAAGCGGCATAAAGTTGCTCTGGCTCCATGCTGTTGTAAAGAGAAAGCTGTCGAGCTTTGTTTAACTCCCTTTTGCTTCTCTTCTCTTTCTACCTAAAACTTCAAACTCTGTGCGCCGGGGGAAGTTGGATTTTAATAAAGGTAATCTTTTCTACTTTAGAGCCTAAAGCGGTTAGACGCCAAAGTATATATTTTTAGGAATCGTGAGCGCTACGACGTCTGAATGAAATGCCCCAAACCAGGTTACTAGCTAGCTGGGTTCATGTCCCAAAACTAAGACGTATAAATATATCTGACTACTAAAGGTGGGTGGGGAATAAAACTCGTTGGAGGTTTACCTGAAACCCAGTGGATAAATTAGGACATCGTGGGCGATACCGTGTCTGGTGTGGAGTCGCGGGCGATAATAGGCGTATCTGTTCTGGAACGGCGGCTAAATGAAGTTATAAAGCCGTATATTCCCCAAGTTCCATTTTCAATTTATCTACTATTTACAAAACCTGCCATTGCGCTCTCTTCATCATGGATACATCGCAAGTTCCGAAATTCGGAGAAGGACGTCGCCGAAAGACAGTATTCCGAAAGTTCCGCCAGCTCTGTGATTTATTCAATATGAAAGCAATGGTAATCTTGACAGATAGCGAAAACCGGAATTGGATTTTTAAGACTCATGAAGACGTGCCAGGGATGAAACAGGTAAGGCATAATATATATACTCATTCGATAGGAGGGGCTTAGATATCCGCAGGCTATGGAACATCCGCGAACACAAACTTACGACGATTTCCACCTTATACATTCAAGCAATGGTGCAAGAATGCGACGAGATAGCCGGTCACAACAGAAAGACACACAAGTAACGTTGCAACCGCCAACATTTAGACGAGGACTTTAAAGATTGGATGAAGTGGTGATAACACTGGGCCGCTCATGGGAAATCCACCAGGCAAAGACGTTTAATTGGTTAAAAACCTGTTCAATACATAAGTACTGATGAACATCTGGAAGGAGTTTAGTGTTAAGGGTTTAATTAGTATTTAAGAACATTTGTATCCGCAGTCTATTATAACATCTTCTATACTTTCTTATCCTCATTCCTTAATTCACTCGTTGCTGGAAAGCCAAAGCCTTATCGAGTATCCATAATCCCATATAATTATAATGGGGGACATTGAAATTACAATACTAGATCACATTATCTCCCAGAATGGTCAGAAGACCGTCAACATCGAGCGACTGCCTAGCCAACTCCAAAAGTCCAAGCTCGATGCCCCTCCTACTGTTCAGGACTTGCAACGTGAAGTTGGTCGTCTTCGCCAGGAGATTGCATTTTATCAAGAAGCTCAGAAAGCATTATTAGCCTCATTCGAGGGTAGCAGGGAGGCTTATCGTTTGCTGCGGGATACGCTCGAAGCTGTCGTGCTTCATCAGGACTTGGCGCAAGCTTTTATGTCTTTGGCTTACGGCGCTCGAAAAGCTGGAACTGTGATCCAACAGTCTCTGCGACATACATCTGAAACATTGGCTACTTCAGAGGGCCATTTACTCCAATCGCTTGGAATATCGTTGGATGATAGTGCAACAAAAGATTATACAATCTTATAACTAGGGACATTGATCCTATAGAGGCACTCAGGGTGGCAACTTTCTTTTATTGCATTTTTTGATGAATATCGAACGCTGTTCTTATTCGCCGAAGGGATATGACAATCCCAAGAACTTGTTTCTCGGTGTTCAGTAGCGTATGGCGGAGCTGTTCTGCTGTTTTCTTTTGATGATAGAGATCAACCTCCAGCTGTTTATTTCGCCCCTGTAACTCCTCCTGGAAATCCATAGCTTGTTCTAGTTCGGCTTGAAGCTTTTGATTTTCTAAACCTAGATCTATGCCTTGTTGCTGGGCTGGAGACTGAGCAGGGTTAGAATCTGAGGCAATTTCGTGCACAGTGTTGCAAGACCCGTCCTGTAGCACAGCCCAAATGTCGCCACTTGTAAGTGCTCTACGGATCTCGATATAGGCATTCGTAGATAACTTGCTCAGTTGATTGGTAAAAAGATATCGCTTGCTGTCTTTAAAATGCCACCGATACTTGTCAGTGTTCAGGGGATGCAGTCGCACTTCAGCGGGAGCCACCAAGATAGAGAGTTTGTTTTCTATACTTTGTTAGCATGAGTATCATATCTATCATAACTTAAATTTGCATACTAAGGTGTTCAGATAGCTCTTCGCGGCAATTGATACGTTCCAGAGCCCGCTTTCTATTCGCCGGGGTCGACATACTGCTCGTGCAAGGACCTGGATCAGCTACCAAATAATATATACCATCTAGTTGGCTATACATATTCATATATGGTATTTAACTGACGGAAGATAATACGTCTTTATTTTACTGGTCGTGGCGTGGGCGACTCGCCTAATATAAAAAAGGTGCAATGTTACAAATACGCAATTTTACAATATAGAGTAGGCCCTGGTTGTCATCCCATTATACGATATATATAGCATGTTGTTGATGCGCAATTAACAGTGTTCTAAAACCACACGAGTCTAGTATTCCATCATGTTTACTTTGTTCACGACCGTACTCCTGTTTACTTCCTATGCCACTGCACAGCTGTTAACATCAAGCCAAGATATCCAGGTTTTACCTGTGACCCCTACTACTAGCCTTCCTTATCTTGTGAGCATCGTTGATAGCCACTCCTACTTTCAGTCCAGCCAGTTCACTGCCCATTCCAATGACCATATCCAGACGACTAAAGTCGATTACTTAACAGCTCAAACTTCACCTGGTTCTCCCAGTGCAACGGATGAAGGAACAAAGGAATTCCTATCTGCCGATGTCCCAAAAGAGTGCCGATCCGTGTTTGATTTAGAGAAGAACAGTTCGTTTATATCTTTCTGTGGATATACACAATCGCCCACTATATACTCTTCGGATATAATCTCTCCATCAAGTATTCACTGGCTACCACCATACTCCCGGAACGGCGGCAACTCTTCCGCCAAGCCTAGGTGGTCCCATACCCTGTTTAGAAACACTTCCTCTTTGTCTATAAGCTGCACGTTCTCTTCGAATGATCTACCAGCAACGCCAACAATCGCATCGCCTCATATGTCCAGAACAAATACTCCTTCTAGTTCTAGTACGGCTCAGGGCCTGAACTCTCAGATTACAACGGCATCCGCATCGGGTGTTTCTTCACATGTCAGTGGACCAAGTATAAAACCGGTACCCTCAGCTGAGCAGTCGGGACTGGTGTCATCTGGAAATGTTATAGAAATTGGCAACCCTGGTCGCATTCTGTTCTTACTCCTTCCTATCGTTATCGGCCGTTAGAGTATTATGACCTTCGTTGAAGGCCTGTCGTTGGATTTGAGGTGACGTCTTGAATTGAAGACTTGTCTCTGAGCTATCGGGTGAACTTATTCTCTTATTGATTATTAGATAGATTACTTTAAATTGAGCTTGAATTTCGGGATACCTACCCTATCAAAGCTCCATGTGTACCTCCCGCTGTACAACTAAATAAACTATTTAGAAACCCACCAATAACACAACAGCAGACCCACTAATCGATAATAACAGAAATGATTGGGTGGTGGAACCTTACCCAAGCCTAGGTCACACATGCGTCTTGCTCGATTAGCCAAGAAATGCAGCAATTCCCCTCTGATTGGTTCTGACTTCGAAGCATACACTGGCGACTAGTACGACTAAGCAGCCCGTGTTCAAAAGTACCATCCCCGGCTAGATTACCCCCGGTCTCCAGTTAGCTCTTCTAGTTATTATTTGAAGAATTTTAGTAAAAGTCAGAAGGGTTTTTGCTGATTTCTCACTTCCTTTTAATCCCAGGTATTCCATTCCTCCATGCCGCCTCTTCCACATCATAGCCTATCTCAAGATGGTATTACAAGCAAAAAGCTCCGATATCACCAAGTACACAACTGCTGCTTATCCTTTATCCGTGATGGGCAAACGAAGTCCATTAGGAAGGCAGTCAAATGTGATGAGTCTTAATGCTATAATGAATCCGGAACCTACCGAAAGTTTACGCACTGAAGTGGTACCAGAGCAAACGCGCGAAACAACTGAGCATAAAGAACCCATACTGGCATCTCATATAGGACGCTGTGTAAGGGAACCCTTAAGCCTGCAAATGGCTATTGAAGAAAGAGAGCGCATACCGGGCTTCCACTCCGAGAACCTGCGAATCTATCATGGCTACCGAAAAGGTGTTTATATGCTTCCTTGCGATGAACAAGAGCAGGATCGGCTTGACTTTCTTCATAAGGCTCTATCACTAGCAATGAGATCCGATGTGCAGATTCATGTCCCTTATCCTGTCAATGGCAAAGTCCTAGATCTCGGATGTGGAACAGGACTGTGGGCTATTAATCTGGCGGAGAGAAATCCTGGTGCTTTCGTCGTGGGCGTGGATCTCTCCCCCATTCAACCATCGACTTATCCATGGAATTGCCAGTTCTATGCTCCTTTCGACTTCGAGAGTTCCTGGAATTTGGGAGAGGAGTGTTGGGATATGATACATCTTCGAATGGGCTGTGGAAGTGTTGTCAACTGGCACAGTCTCTACCGTAAAGTGCTTGCCCATCTTCGCTGTGGTGCATGGTTCGAGCAGGTAGAGATTGATTTTGAACCTCGTTGTGTTGACCGCGAACAAAGATGGTCAGCCCTGCATTATTGGTATCAGACCCTGCAGATGGCCACAGAAAATAGCATGCGACCCCTTGCTCATCGATACAAAGAAACATTATATCAACTGCAGGAAGCTGGCTTTACCGAGATTAATCATCACCAGATCAGATTACCTCTCAGCCCATGGCATGAGGATAGTCATGAGCAGCTTGTTGGTCGTTGGTATGGCTTGGCATTTTCAGAGAGCATTGAGCCACTTAGTCTTGCCTCTTTCAGTCGTGTTCTCGGTTGGCCACTCGACAAAATTCGCCAGCTCAACTTGAGCGCAAAGTCTGAAGCACTTAGTGGCAGGTCACAAGGATTTCATATCTTGAACATATACCAGGCACGGAGGCCTACTATCTAACAGGCTAAAAATGGTATATGATTAAACTCTTGTTCCTTGAGAGAAAGTCCTGCAGCTCTGAACCAATAGCAACAGTCCGTTGGGGTAGTCAATGTTGAAATGTATTCAATTATATTCCAACTTAAGTATCTTGCGAGCAAAGTAACAACTAATAAACGATAAATGAATGGGTAAAATAATCATTTTTAGATCCACGAATGTAGAAAGGCAAAAGGCAATGAATGACAACTAGTGGTTAGATTGCGTATAATGGATGCTGGCCCCCTTCCTCCCTCATTCTTTTTAAGATAGAGCACAGCGTATAGGCCTCCTTGCACTCTGGCCAGTTGAGGGATACATATCCTCAAAATGCCAAGTTTCGGGTGGGTGATGATCGGGTAGAATCTGCCTGGCCTCGTGACCGGATATGTTGTTGTCGCAGACTTGAACCTCGTTTCAATTGATCTTTGCTTTTCTCGTTTGTTAACCTGGAAGAACGTAATTGTTCCGGCTCCGATGGTCGATGTGCTATTCGTGGTATATTATAGGAAATGGGCAACTCCGAACACTGACTGGACCTAGTCCAGTGGGAGCCCTCTCGCTTCTGCAGAGAGTCTAGCCTTTTATCTCTGAGGCCGTTCTTTCTGTATCGTTTGGTTATGCCATGTGTATCAATGCTGGATGAGCAGTGTTCTTCACCTGCCTCTTCAATAGGAGACAGGCTCTTTATATCTCGCCCTATGTCGTTAACAGAGAAAGCCACCACTCGGTTACACTTCGGTGTCTGTGCAGCGTTTCTCCATGCCTCTAGAGCTTTAGGGTTTACCGCGGGGTATTCTGGCCTTTTACCAGTTAAAGACTCCCTGTATGCCCCATCCTGTGCGACTGCAAGCCGATATATCAGCAGATCGACCTGGAACTCTGTCAAATGGTCCATTATTGAGCGTAGCCCCTCACGTGATTCCCAGGTCCAGATTCCATCGTGCCACAATACCCATATATATGTCTCTGGATATTGGGGGTTTTTACTTGGGTGGAGGGCTGCAGTTGGATCAAGTTGATCTTCGTCCCCCACGCGCCACGCAATGAGACCCGTGCCCTCAACAACAATAGAAGAATAGTCGACATTTTCATCGAAGGCCTGTTCAGCTCGTGTATACATGTCGATATTTGTATCGTCATCGAGGTGCATTGGAAGATCATTGGACACTATCACACGTGCGACTTTCCTACCATTGTGTTGATGACCCACAAGTATTGAATAGCCGAACTTGCCACTTGCTCGCCACCCTAGGACTGCCCCCCGGTTGAATGGTATGCCATATTCCTTTTCTGCTTCGTGCTGTGTATCATCTAGGGCCTTGCATACCTGCCAATTTGATATATCATCATCATACTCATTATCGTAGTCCGACACTTCATCACTGTCACCATCATTTTCATCATTTTCCAGGATTGGGTCTTCATTTGCTTCTTTTATGTGGTTGTTGACACCATTATCATGGCCATGTTCTGTAGTAGCATCACCAAGCATAGCTCGTGTTGAATGTGCTATGTCGCCTGACTCAAAAGCATCGACAGATGGTAGGTCAACCGCGAGGCTAGAGCGCTCGGTGGGCGCGCTGTGTGATATCGTTTCATTTTGGCCCGGCACCTCTCCTGTGAAGGTCTCATGGTACTCAAGAAACTGATCCCATGTGACATTCCAGTCTGTTGGCCAATTGGACTTGGAAATGGCTTTCCGCAGAGATTCCTGCGTATGCAGGAACTTTTTGTCGTCCCCAGATTCGAAGAAGGCAAGGGAGGCATCTTCCATCTGACTCCCAAAGGAAGAAACAAAATCGACATCAATTATACCTTCATCTCGTCGTCTTTTATGCTGTATGTTTTTAGCCCGGATTTGATTGTTTAATGTTTTTAGTTGTTTGACTACTTGTACGGGTGGCTCATTCGTCAAGCTCCATACGAGCGATGCGATTAACGGTGTTGCAGCATCGTATTCCTCGCCATATAGTGCAAACGACGACAGATTTGTATTCTCTGAAGGCTTCGATTGTCTAGACATTTTAGGACAAATGGTATATAGAATACAAGAATCGGGTAGTTGGCGATATTTAAAGCACCTATCTGTAGAATATGTGCAAAATTACAAAACGGAAGTTGCGCCTTATTGTCGGAGCAGATGTCAAGAACTTCAGTTTCCATTCTGTACAAATGTAATTTTAGAACGCTACTCAATAGCCCTTTAAGAAAGAACGAAATTTACTTTCTTTGTGCAAACTTCTGTATATAGAACAGGCCTGGATGACCCTGCTGGGCCAGTCCAAAAGCCTCATCGAGCCATTAAATCGGTAGTAGCGACGGGTATGTACAGAGGGCAGGAGAGTAATCGGCACGAGCTGATGATTATAGCTATCTATATTAGATCTGACGTGCGCCCAGCTTTATCGAACCTACTAAAAAGAACATTATTATAAGCACTGAATATAGGTAGCCCCTCAGTTTCGATTCATCACGATGAAGATTCATAATGTGATCATCAATTGTATCATCCAAATATACTATGGAATTCTATTCAACTCAATATACTATTGTTCAACAATGAGAGCAGATAAAAAGAAAGCCTCACGTAAAAGCTCAACAATTATAGCAGAATTACTATTTATTTGCGATGAGAAATATACCTTACATCAGGACTCAGGAGTTAGTAGTTAGGCAGCCCGAGGAGACAATCTCTCCTGCCGTGTGCGTCGTGCAGGTGTGGTATGTCGGATAAAGTTTATAGAGCCTATTCTCGCACGTTCAGTTGCAGCTGAGCTAGGGGATAGTCGGTTGGTTTGACTAGTGCTACACTGTCTGGGCCTGTATATAAAGCGTTTCGAGGTGCAGCTGCTCCAGGGTCAGTGCTACGTCCTTCTTGATGTATGGCCTTGAGCCCTTGGAGTAGGGGCTTGAGTCCTTCTTGGTGTTTGACCTTGGGCCCTTGGAGTAGGGGCTTGAGTCCTTCT